GCAGGAGCAGGAGAGGTTGCGGGGTGGCGTGTCCTGTCCTGGGCAGCAGCAGCAGGAGAGGTTGCGGGGTAGCGTGTCCTGTCCCTTGCCAGCTCAGTTAGCCTTAGTCGATTGTCACTGGGAGGCTTGATCATGGCTGGAGCTTAAGCCTGCTAATTAAAGAGCTGATTATAGGCCTCGTTAGCAGCAAACCTCTCTGACTAAGCTGACCCATTTGTTTTCTTTTGATTGCCTTATTTGGGATTAGAGCTTGTTCCTGGATGGACATTGTTGCTGTCTTTCGAGTTCAGAGATGGGCGTACATTGGCGTGACTGCTGCACAGAGCTGTCTGACCAGGTGGAAAGATCACTTGACATTTATTACACAAAGCTCATGTCTCAGCATACCTCCTCTTTTTATGCCCTCATTTCCTTTCTTGTGGTTCCCCTTGAGTTGGAAATGAGATATTTTCCACTGCCTTTGAGCTGTCGAATAGGTTTGAAGCTCTTCTAAAGTTTGCTCTGGAGCGGGGCTTGACAAGAAGCTGCTCCTATCACCACCACCTTCCTTCGAAAACATTTTCTCTGTGGTTTGTTTGCAATTTCCTCCTTCAAAACACATTATTAAAATGTGTTAAGTACAAGATGCACTGTGTTTTCTTAAAGAATGAGCTACTTCCTGTTCATGCAGTTATTTTTTGCCAGTCAGGGGTCACTGATGGCCAAAAGAATGTACTGCTCATTTTCCTCAAATTGTTGCAAGATCCTGGACCCCCCCAGTCACCTCTGCCCCTGATGGCCAAGTGTCCTGGGGCTGACGGGCTTTGCAGGAGTGACAACTCAGCGTGCAGTGCTGGACAGATCCAATGCTGTCGTGATCCAGGCAGAGGTGGTGTGCATTTTTGGAATAAACACCCCCCAGAAAAGAGGGGATCACCTGGCAGTTTCGTGCTCCCCATCTGACTGTTTTTTTTGGTTGCTGGATTGGATTTTCAATCTTTGCATTGGGAAACATGCGTTTTTTTTATTTGCTCTGTTTCACTGGACACAGGCAGACCTGGCTGCTCAGAGAGGACTGGCTCAGTGACATAATAGTGACTGTTATTTCTGAATTCAAATTTTTGAGTTAGGGTGAGTGTGAGAGGAGAGGGACAGCAGTGTCTCTAGCAGTGTTTACGGTCCAGTCAGGTGTGACAGAGTGTGTGTGCTGGTGAATTCAGGGTGAGTGTGAGAGGAGAAGGACAGCAGTGTCTCTAGCAGTGTTTACGGTCCAGTCAGGTGTGACAG